ACATGTTTCTAAACTGAGGAACTCGTTAACTCAGTAGAATACAGCAGTTGAAAATGTCCTCAAGGTGTAGAATCAGTCACTTACGTGCACTACAGGAACAGGGAAAGTTTGAGAGGTGGTATCAGATCACGGTTGTAATGTAAACCAACAAATAGATTTCACACTTCTGAAAGAAAGAATTTCTCTCCTTCTATCTGAATGAATTTTTAAGGTACATGGAAGTGTGTGCTACATGACATACAAGTCAAGACTTCAGATTCCTAGTTTTCTTTTCAATGTGGCACCATATAGGTAAGGAAGTGTGTAAAGCCAAATAGTAAAAATTAGCTTCTGTTGTATTCAGATGAAAATTTTCTATGTGAAAGCCTCAGTGATATTCTCTCATTATCAGCTTCCTGGTTCCTTCAGTTACTTTTCCAGATTTAATTTATATTGCCATTTGGAGGAGGTGTCGGGTATCAGTAATCACGTTTAGTTGTGAAAGAGAGAAGGGAGGGAACCACAGTGTGCTTCGCTGCGGTGGTCACCTCCCAGTAGATGGTGCCATTGTGAAATGCAATTTATTCTGAGAAGCACAAACTTTCAGCCATCTGGAGTTTCTGTAAATTACAGAACTTCTAGAATTCGGAAAAAAAAAGTTAATTGCTTTAATGTTCTTAGGAAATACTCAAATCCAGGTATAAAGTTAATTTTTTATTCTTCTCCGGGGAGGTATAAAGAGACAGTTTTAAAATAAAGACAAATGATGCAAATGTCTCACATTCAAGAGAAGAAAATATACCCCAAAAAGATATGTAGAACAAACTCAGTTCATTCCCAGTTCCCTATGGATTTGTCTAGACTTATGAAAACAGCCACATTTGTTATAATTCTGTTACCTATGTGTATACTGAAACAGGAAGTGATAATTAAGTAATATAGTTCACAGTTGTAAGGAACCAAAATGATTAAATATTATGTGCATCAGGGTTTGGGGGATTAGAAATCAGAGCTGCCTTTCTGTTCATGATTTAGTTACTGGAGAGCTTGCGTTGACTTCAGTATAGAAGGAAACATCTCTGAATTTTTACAAATTTAAAAATAAAATTTAGAAAATCTCAGACATTTGTAGATACTCCTCTATAGCAATTAACTGTTTTTAAAATCAGTGAAATTATACTGGAAATTATGTGGGGTCTCCGTTATCAAGGGCAAGATTTGATGACCCTAGGATGTTAAGAGAAAGGTTTTGTCGGTAAATCAGTGAGAACTTGAAGGCAACGCATGTAGAGACTTCACCTTTTCTGAAAAAAGCGAAACTCCCATCAGGAACTTGGCATTTGAGACGAGGAGACAAAGTTTGGGGGCCCCAGAAGATTTGCTAGAATCAGCATGTGCTCCGTGAGGAAGTGAGATGTCAGTCCTAAAGATTGGCACTGGGGTGTGCTGGTTACTGTCATGCCAGCCGGCTGGAGAGCAAATGTAAACTAACAGCTGAAACTGGTGTGAACTCCTAGCTTCCTTTCCTATCAGAAGGGACTGCCTGAAAACATTGTGTTTGTAGAAGGAAAAAATTTGAAAATCTTGTTCACCGTTTTGCCCTCAGGAAAATAGGCTTTTCCTCTGATTTTGGGCAAAGCTCTGCTCAGAAGACAGAGCTGATGGGTTTTAGGCAATGTCAGATGTAAGCAAGCAGCAGGGGACCCAGCCAGCAGAAACAGGGGTGGTGAATTCCTGAGCACAGCTTTAGTGTTTAAGGGTCTGATTCCTTGGGCAGTAGATTAAATGCAATGATTCCCACAGGTTTCAGATGGCGTTGCGTCACGTTAAAGATGACTATTCTGTCTTCTTCAGAAGGCACGTTGCGTTTTTAAGGTCCATCCTACTTTTCCCACACATAATAGGGACTGAATAGAGTTCCTTGTATGATGTATATTAGAATGACTTTGATCTTATATATTCCAGAAGAACCTATCTTGAAAGATTACAATGCTGTTGGGAAAATATGCAGGTGTATTACTGCACAGCTTCTTTTAAGTTTAAATTCTTTAAGTCAATTTGATTTCCAGTTTAACAATGAAAGATGGTCTCAAGCCATTCTTTGGTGTTTGAAAGGCTTTTCTCCCGAGTTTAATGATGTTTTGGCTTAAATTGCTGCAGTTGAATATGCTTCTTGGATTTTGGTCAGTACCAGCTAGATTTTCCTCTCCAGGGCAATGTTGAGGGCTTATCAAGAATATGATAGTCTAGTCAGCCAGTGAGATCTTATGGAACATCCTTCACTTGGGATTGACATCTCACAACAGCCTTGGGTTTTGGCATCATTAAACCTTACTCCTGACCTAGTTCATTGTAAAAGCTGGCCTTTCCACCTGAGTCTGAAACTAGACTGGTTCTGAACTGAGCCATATTGGCTGACTCTGAAGGATATTGGCCCACACTCACTTTGTCTTTCCCACTCTGTGGCTGAGAGGAGAGCCTT